ATCTGCGAAAGGAGCAGCAGCTTTAATGCATGGAGGATTATAAAAAAGTTACCAGAGAGGCCACGATATGCACACAGTGACACCGTGTGGGGAAAGCCCTGCAGCAGATGCAAACTGGAGCCGTTCCTGCAGCACAGGCCATTGTTTAAACGCTCGTTAGTCAGAAGATCCAGGACCTCTCTAAACGATGCAGTCCTTTCTTTGTGTTTACATTTTTCTTCTGAATAAAGGAGAACTTTAACTACTCTACTCAGGCGTCCTTCGTAGAAGTTCTAGGCCCAGAATGAAAGTGTAAATCTTTCAGGGTTTTCTCTTCTGAAATTCAATAAAGGACGCTTTCACTGGTTTTAAAACTAAGCTAACACATCTAAAATAGTCCAACTGTCACAAAACAATTGAATCAGAAAAGGGCAGAATGCCTTCTCCGGGTCAGGGATGAGGTCCTGCCTCAAGTGGAGGAGTTTAAGAGTCTCGGGGTCTTGTTCACGAGTGAGGGGAAGATGGAGCGTGAGATCGATAGGCGGAATGGTGCTGCATCTGCAGTGATGCGGGCGTTTTACCGGTCTGTCGTGGTGAAGAGAGAGCTGAGCTGGAAGGCAAAGCTCTCGATTTACCGGTCGATCTACGTTCCTGCCCTCACCTATGGTCATGAGCTTTGGGTAGTGACCGAAAGAACGAGATTGCGGATACAAGCGGCCGAAATGAGTTTTCTCCGGAGTGGCTGGGCTCTCCCTTAGAGATAGGGTGAGAAGCTCGGTCATTCAGGAGGGGCTCGGAGTAGACCCGCTGCTCCTCCACATCGAGAGGAGCCAGTTGAGGTGGCTCGGGCTTCTGGTCAAGATGCCTCCTGGATGCCTCCCTGGTGAGGTTTTCAAGGCACGTCCAACCGTGAGAGGACCTAAAGGTAGACCCAGGACACGCTGGAGGGACTGTGTCTCTGGCTAGCCAGGGAACGCCTTGGGATTCCCCCGGAGAAGCTGGCCCAAGTGGCTGGGTGGTGGGTAGTCTGGGCCTCTTAGGCTCCTGCCCCCGCGACCCGACCCTGAATAAGCGGTCGAAAATGGATGGATGTATGGATGAACATTTTGGAGTATTTTTTAAACTATTTCAATTCAAAGATACTTTATTAATCCCAGAGGGAAATTAGAGTTTCAGTACACACAATTCTGAGATCAGACATACATACGTAGGTATAGACACATGACAAGAATTGGTGACTGTGGTCATTCGCAACCCGAGTCGCGCTACCTTAATAGAGATAAGAGGGTTTTTTATGAGGACTGGGTCAGGTGGAGAAAAAAAGGCACTTCAGAGTTACCCTCCACAGGGAGGGCAGCTTTGCTCTGCAAAAAACACCTCAGACAGAAATGCACGCACACTTCAGACATTACACAACATAAGTGTCCACTAGGTGGAGAGGTAGGGTTGGGGACTCTCCTCACGTCAGTGCATGCAGCCGCGATAAGCAGCACTCGTCACCTCAGTCTGGACAGGGGAAGGAGGTCGTTGGGTTAGAAAGCACAGTGACTCCTGGAAACGGTTCCACGGCCTTCACCGGTCGCAGTCCCGCCCAGGCTGGGATAGGGAGACAGAGTTACCATGGCGACGGCAGCATTCCACATTTCTTCTGAGGGGGGAGTTATCACTTCAGCCTCACAGGCTCAAGGGCACCAGATTCAGATAAGAACTTGTTTTGGGGCCAGACAGAGATAATTTCCTCTCTGTCTTAAAGTTCTGTTGGTCTCCAACCCGTCTGAATCCAATAATGGCGTAAATTAATCTATTCCCAACCGTGCTGTCCCGTCAACTTCCTCCGTGATCGAATCAGCCTTCTGTGCCAGAACCTGAATCTCAGCCAAAGTTCCAAGCTTACGACTCATCTCGACAATTATGAGTTTGTGCGTTCACAGCGCGGTGTAATCCATCCCTGAGCTCCGGGATTGAGCCAGTATTCCTCGACAGCTCATTAATTTTCCGGTAAGCCAGGTAACCGGTCAGGCCCAACAGCAGGAATCCTGACACCAACACCACGAATATCCAGACGTCTTCAGAATCCTCTACAGACAGTTGAGAGAGGCAGATCAGGTTCCACTGTTTCCAGGAGTCCATGATATGCCCAGCTGGCTCTGTCCCAGAGGTGCAACCAGGAGCCCCTTCTCCCGTTCTCATCGTTGAAAAAATCTTGTCAATCGCATTGAGAGACCAACTGACCAGGTCCATTTTTAATAATTTCCAGTTTCCAGAAAAAAATGCAGAAGCGCCGTCCACACAAGGACAGACAAAGAGGGGTAAGATAGGGAGGAGAGGAGGAAAAGAGCGTCTGAACCCCCCAAGAGTCGGAAGAAAAGTATTTTTAAATCTATTTGAAACCTTTAAAGGTGTGGAATGCTGAAAAAAACATTTTTAATGATAAATTCTGATTTTAATCAGTCACTCTGAGTTTTTCATGCTGGCCGAATATGAAAACACCTTTCTCCTGCTTAATGAGCTATCCTCTCTCTGCAGCTCAACTCTGATGTGGCTCACTTCTAGCTCCTCAAATCGGTGCATCGGAGCCTTTTTTCCCAGACTACAACTTACAAGGCATTCATTCCTACCAGTCTGACCACCAAACGCACAGATTAAACGAGTTTCACACATCTTTAAAATACATAAAGTTGAGTTGTATGTGTGGGAGTGCGTGGAGGTTATATTTCACCCTTCCGTGGGTTTTCCTCTTATTCCAGTTCACTTCCACAGTTTTAATGGCTGCTAACCAGGACCTCAGAACCTTTATTGATTTTTAGAATGAAAATATTGAATTTTAATTTGTGACTCAGTATTAATTTGCTAAAGAGAACCAAACAACTGAAAGGAGAAATGTTCTCATCTCGAAAATATTTCGGTATTTGTAGAGTTTAGATGAACGTTGCAACCGGTTCTAAATGTTTCTCCAGAACAGAATCAACATTTTCTCATCAGGATTTTTTTTTGTTCTATCCAGGAAGTGACGCTGAGGGCCTAATGGGGTCTGAACCAGTGACTGTCCAACAAGCCAGGGGAGGTCGGCCCATATTAAAAAGAAACGGAAAAAAGGAGACGCAGGGTGGATGAGGGGATGTGTCAGCTAGATATCAACAGTCAGAGATGCACAGGAAATCAAATGGAGTTTCCTTCAAAATAAAATAGGACTGTTTCTTATTCCTTGCAGGTTTAAAAACTTGAATAAATGAAAAGTTCTAATTCTTCCTATTCACTGTTGCACGTTGCGGTCTTTCATCTTAACTGACACATCTTGTCACACAAATTTTGGAATTGAGTGGAGCGTTGTTTGTCCATCCATCCGTTCCTGCTTGCTCGCGATTTGGGTTGGAAAACCCAGATATTTCCCCCTCCAGCTCCTCCTGGGAGATCCCAAGTTATTCCCAGACCAGAGAGGACACTTATTCCCTTCAGTGAGTTTTGGGTCTACCTGCGTCTCCTGCCAGTTTGACATATCTGGAAATACTTCAATGAGCTGCGGGCCTCTCAGATTCCTGAACGACTTCAGCCGACTCCTTTCAGAGATGATGATGATGATGGTGATGGTGATGGTGATGATGATGATTGGTGTGGCCTTTTTTGTAAGTGGCACAGAGAAAGAGTGTTTCGACCAGTTGGATGTTAGTCAGTTTGCAACAGTAAATCATACTTCTGTACTCACATTGGAGAATCTCTGGGGAAAAAAACGTATGAACGTGACTTCAAGGATTTAAGCAATGATGACAAGGAAGAACTATCCCAAGATGACCAAAAAATTCCTGAAAACCATGAATTACTCAGTGAAGTTTGATAAACAGGCAAACTTAAACAAAACTCAAACAAAATGTATGCCTACACTGTCGAGCATGGTCAAAACCGTTTGTCTCCAAAAATAATAAAAATAATAATAATCATAAAATTAAAAACTCACGCCTGTGGCTTGATTAGGCCACCTTTAACCTCAAGGTAGACCTAGAACCCCACCCAGAGCGCCCTCTGTAGCAGATGGCTCCAACAATGATGATGATGATGATGATGAGGAGGAGGAGGCGGAGGAGGGGTTCTGCTTCCTGATGACAGATTTCACCTGATCTCTGAAGCTGAGCCTGGGGATGTGTAAAGGGAGATTTTATAGTGAGCAGATAACCTAAAAGGACCAGAGACAATACAATTTATATTTAAGCAGATAAAGTCATAGGAAACATTTTTTTCATACATTTTATTTGAATTTCTGGTAATTTCTCATTTATATGCAACCTTTTATGGAGCTAATGCAGCTGATGTTGGTGGAGCTCAATTCTGCTCTTTCAGTTTGCATCTAATCTTTGTAGTTAAGTTAAATTTTGTAGACTTTAAGAATTCTTGAGTTCGTTTAATTAATTACTTATTTTGTTGATATTTGTAAAAATTTCCCGAGCTTGTCATCACTTGTGTCACTAGTACTTTGCATGTTTAGTTTACAAAACATTTGATATCTCTTTGTGATGGGTTGGAACCTTGTTTTCGTCCTTTTTCCTTTTCTCTATTATTGCTTGAAATCTGCCTGTAAAATTGTATGAAATGTCCTGTTATTTATGGGAGTTCTGGATATCTGGAATATTTTTTGTGACAAATTTGGTTCCTTTAAAATCTGTTTTTCTGGCAATTTGTCTGAGCAGTTCTCTTTAAAGAATTACTGATTTACAGCATTTTATTATTCATCTGTACTTTTGGACAGTGGCGGATCTAAAACTTTTTACACCGGAAGGCAAAGGAGGGGCACGAGGTCTTGGCAGGGTGACAGTGCTGTATTTCCTCATTAAATTATGAAAAAAAGAATCCCTTTAATGTCAATGAGTCAACAAATGCCCACAGAAACACTTGAAAACATTTTATTGTGTCTTCATTAATTATAAAAAAATAAATTTTAGGTAAGACAAAGAAAAACAAACCTTCAAATACATAAATAAATAAAACGGAAGACAACTTACGTGTATTTTCAGGACATAAAGTAGAGGGGAACTAATGGGACAGCCTTTTTTCCCGATTTCGTTTTCATAATTGTTTTATTTTGAAGGCAGATCACCGGAAGCAGCCTGTTTCTTGTTCCGGTTGTCGTTCCGTGAGAAGGTGGTCGTCCCGAGTGAAAAACACCGTCCAGAAAAGACGGACGGACCGATTGGATAATTTCTGAAGTTTGTCTAAACTTTTTTAAGAGATTAAAACCCGTAAAAACCCAAATCCCAGCCGGCGGACGAAGCTCTGGGTGTTGTTACCGGAGCTCGCGCTGGGTTTGACTCGTTCGTGTTCGGGAGTGAAGTTGGGAAAGTTCGGGGTGAAAATGGAGAGCCCAGCTGAGAGTGGGCTGAGGAGGCTGGGTTTGGCTCCGGCTGCGAGTCCTGTCCTGCTGCTAACCTAGCATGGACCCTTCGCTGTCTCCGGTAAGTTCAGGGATGCGATTTAAGCTCACTTTGACTCATGTCATCACTAAGATGTTTGGATGCTCTTTAAGAAAATACCTTTAAACTTTTACCCTGAAAAAATGGCGGAAAATGTAGTTTTTTACCCCGAAAAGGTGAGAACTGAAAAAGGCCTGTGTCACAAAAATAAGAAAGCAGCCACAAATGAAACCGTTTCTTTATTAACCAGCTGGTTTGTGGATGAGCCCAGTAAAAACCTTGTGTTGGAGCTTATTTCAGCTCTGCTATAAACCATATCTGTGACAGACAGAAATCATTTAACTTTGTTATATTTAATCTCCTATTAAACACAATTACAAATGTTTGATTTTATGTGGAAACTCTCCTATATTTTCGGCCTGCCGTCAGGAGAAAATCAGTGTTTGGTGGAATAAACTAATTGATGTGCTGCTGATAACATGTCATTGTTCACTGAACCTGCATTCATTTTTCACAGCTTTGCTCCTCTCCAGCCAGAGATTCTCCAGGGGAGAAACCTAATCTGTGGTTAGACCGCTGCTGACGCTGCAGCTTCTCCCAATGGATCAAAGTAGAGCCCATGACCCTTTTTTTATGGAAGTTCTGCACAAATCCAGAGGAAAACTTTGCATCTCTGCTTGGAAAAATAGCTTTAGAGAAGCTTGATGTCCCTGGCGAGTGGCTCGCTGCCTGATCAATCATTTTTGTGCTGAGAGCATCCATGCTGTTTTCACTGGAGCAGTTTTTTATTTTAAATGAGGCTCTAGGAGGTTCCTCGGTGGAGCTTCTAGACCTGCCAGCTGGTTGTTCAACCGGGAAGAGCTGGGATTAATAAAAATACAGGACATTGGAAAGCCATAGTATTAAATCTATTCATGAGCTACTGAGAAGAACTGAGGGATTTTATTCATGAGTTGTAGCTGCTGATGCCTCCTCAGTGGGAATTGAACTCTGAAGTGAGATGAATCAGCTGTTGCGGGGATGAGGCAGGGCTCCTGGTGGCCTGCGTGGCTGTCTGGGCTCAGGCCCAAGGTGATGTGATGGGGTGCCGGAACAGCAAGGTCCTCCCTGAGCCCCCAGGGGACGTTACGTTGGACCTGGTCAAAAAGGTCAGTGATGGCATCCGATAATGTTCTGCTTCTGCTGCAGCAGCACTTTGGTTTATTTATGTTGTAAACAAGATCGGTTGTATTCTGATTGTTCATGTTTGCAAAATAATAACATCATTAAAATATGTTTTCACAAGAGAACAGAATAAAATGAAATGGTTTCCTGCAGCATTTCTTAAAGGGACATTATGGAAGTTTGACAGCTAAAACATGTATAGAAATAATAAATGTCTTCTTCATTCATTCTCCTGCAATGCCCTGGTCCTGTAGAATGAGCCCTGGCATTTTTACTGTGATTGCCTGTTTTTCTGTAAAATCACAGAAAAAGAGAGATGCTCGGGTCGAGCAGGCTGCTTCATGCGCGTTCACTCTCAGGCATCGCCCGTAGCATTTGCTATCCGTAGCTTTAGCAGCAGAGAGAGAGGCAGTGCCACTTTGTCGCTGTTCCTAACGCCTAGTGACAAAGCTAGCTACATTTCTGAGGACCCTTAGCTACTTTCTGTAGAACTTTCTTCTAGATATTTCCTGCAAATTAGCAACAAAATAGCCATTTTCGCTCCGAACCGTTCTTTGGTTTGACGTTGTTTCAGCTGTCATCAAGGATATAAATGTTACAGATACTGTGAATGTTACAAGGTGAGCTACACTCTAGTAAGATGTCTGACTCTCATGCAGAAGACCTGGGTTTGATTCTGGATGTAAACATAGTTTATTTAGAGTTTCTTTTTTACATTAATGGTATATTTTTTACAGTAAGATGCCCAAATTTTTATTTGAGACTCGCCGAACGGCATTGAATTCACAGATAAAAAAGATGTGGGTTCAACTTTCATTTTGGAACAATTTTTCAAGCAAGGGAAGGGAATGATCTGAGCATGCAGGAGGACTGACCCATCATAAACCTTTGTCGGCTGTGCTGAAGAGAAAGGTACAGAACCAAATTATTTAATTAATTAGCTGCGCTTTCTCCTGTCCTCTGTCCTCCGGGCCACACACACACACACACACACAAGGGACTGTCTCAGCTGTTATTTTCGTTAAGGAGTGTGCACGTACAGCATGAGCGCCTCGTGCACAAGCCTACCATTGAAGTTGCCGTTACGCTTTTGGCCTGAGGGGGCAATCGCGAGCATAAAAATTAAAAACTCCGTAAAGTCCCTTTAACATGAAATGTTCATCAAAAATGTACTCATTCATGCATTCAGTCTCACCAGCATATGTTTGTATGAATACACACTCATTAATCACGATGAGGCAGTCTGCTCTGCAGCAAATCTTCACCAAATTCCTTCTGTTTCAGGTCGATCCCCCTCAGACGGACATCTACAAGCACTTCATCAAAGGGGATGGCTCGGGAAGCAGGACAGGCGTGCTTGCCGGAGGCGATGAGAGACGTCCTTCCTCTTCCTGCCAAGCCCAGGCACAAGCTGACACGCCCACCGCTTTGGCCCACACCCCTAAGGACCCGTCCAAACCTTCGAACCCTGAGCGGAAGAAGGTGGCAAAGTATCGGGCAAAGTTTGACCCGCGGGTCACGGCTAAGTACGAGATCAAAGCCCTGATCGGCCGTGGGAGCTTTAGTCGTGTTTTCCGGGTAGAGCACAGGAGCACACGGCAGCCGTACGCCATAAAGATGATCGAGACTCGTTACCGGGCGGGGAGGGAGGTTTGTGAGTCCGAACTGTGCGTTCTGCATCGAGTCCGTCACACCAACATAATCCAGCTGATGGAGGTGTTTGAGACGGCGGAGCGCGTCTACATGGTCATGGAGCTGGCCACCGGAGGGGAGCTGTTTGACCGCATCATCGCTCGCGGCTCCTTCACGGAGCGAGACGCCACACGGGTGTTGCAGATGGTGCTGGATGGCGTCAAGTATCTCCACGCTTTAGGCATCACCCATCGAGACCTGAAGCCAGAGAACCTGCTGTACTACCACCCCGGAGCCGATTCCAAGATCATCATCACTGACTTCGGCTTGGCCAGCAGCAGGAAGAAGGGCGACGAGTTTATGATGAAGACCACCTGCGGCACGCCGGAGTACATCGCCCCGGAGATCCTGGTTAGGAAGCCCTACACCAACGCAGTGGACATGTGGGCGATGGGGGTGATTTCCTACATCCTGCTGAGCGGAACCATGCCCTTCGAGGACGACAACCGCATGAGACTCTACCGGCAGATCCTCAAGGGGAAGTACAGTTTCTCTGGAGAGGTGAGCTTCTTCTCTTTCAGGTTTCACACTTTGGAAAAGTTTCTGCACTCACCAGGAGACGTGGTCAACAGATTTCCAAGAAGTTTGGCTTCTCTTGTCCGGTTAGAGTCTCCTTGCAGACCTCTCCCCTCTTCTCATTTTCTGCTGGCCGAACCACCATCCACCGTCCACGCTGCTGAAGAATCGATGTTTGCCTCTTGAAAGAGCGCAGAAGCATAGATGCTTTATTCATGTAGCTGTAAAAATGCTGAGTAGTCTGTTTAGTTGTTCCAAAGCGTGGGGCGCCGTAGCCTCGGGTTGATGTTTGTTCCACATCCCGACACTCCAAACAGAATCAGAGTTCTGCAGCATTTCATGAAGAATCTTCTGTTTTCTGTCTGTTAACAGGGTATCCGGGGGTCCTTAAAAAGTCTTAAATTAGCTTTTCCAAATTTAAGGCCTTAAAAATCCTTAAAAATTACAAATAATCCTTTAATACAGTTTCCAGAGGTCTTAAATGACCAAAGACCCAATAAACAAGATTCTTTTATTTCTACAAAATTTTCGTGAATGTCTAGTTAGTGTTCAGCATTTTTTGTGTACGATGTTGCCGTAAGCGGAACCGTACACATTCAGTTGGTTGTGAAAGGGGGCTATTTTTAGATGAGCACGTTATCTGGTTAAGCTAGTGGGAGCTTGCGCCATGGAGATGTGGAAGTTTAATGGTAACTGGATGGCTAATCCCACGATCGCGGCGTGGTTAGCACCGGTTCCAGGCAACAGCTGGAAATTATAGCTTATTTTAATTTTTAAAAATGATAAATGACCCGTACTTGTATAGCGCCTGTCAGAGTAAGGACTCCAAAGTGCTTTACACTACAGTGTATCATTGGTCCATTCACACTCACACTTTCACACACTGATGGTGATGAGCTACGATGTAGCCACAGCTGCCCTGGGGCGCACTGACAGAGGCGAGGCTGCCGAGCACAGGCACCACCGGTCCCTCCGACCACCACCAGCAGGCAAGGTGGGTTAAGTGTCATGCCTAAGGACATAACAGCAGAATTCTCTGTCCAGAGCCGGGATCGAACCTGCAACCTTCCGATTACTGGACTACCCGCTCAACCTGTTGCTTAAATAGCTTAAATTTGGTCAAAGTGGCCTTAAAGGGCTTAAAAAGTCTTAAATTTGGCTCCCTTAAACCTGCAGATACCCTGTGTTTATCCTTCCAGGAAGTCTCCTGACTTTAGCTTTGCATTTGGGATTAGTAAAGCTTGTTATGAGTCTGGATAGTTTTAAATGCACCGAGTTATCCTTTTAGGATGAAGTTGGCTCTTGTTTACAGGATTTTAAACTTTAAATCCAAGAGACGTGAAGCCGAATCAGTTCACGATTTAATGAAACCAATGATCTATTTAACAGCTTTATTGCTGTTGGTGAATTATTTTAGAGCTCTCATGTATTTTTGGGACTGCATGATGTTCGAAAACATTCACACAGCAATTTTATTTTCCATATTAAAGAGCAAGTCACCCCCAAATCAACTATTTTTTCTGAAGAACTATATAAATTCGTGTCTAATCGTGCTGCAGACACGTGTCGTCAATAGTTTTGCACTTAAGTCTATTTTAGTTAAAATTTTAATTTCCTGCCTAAAACTGTCAGTGTTGTGTCGTTGTCAGGTAAAAACTCTGCACTGCAGTTGAATTTAAATCTGCCATCGCTATTGGCTAAGAGGTACCCTAGAACCTTAGCTGGTACCATATGATGTCACAATGCCATTGTGAGCCTGTGTGTGTGTGTGTATTTGTTAGCGGCTCCGCCCTCTCAGTCTGCTAGGCAACAGCATTTTAGCATTTTTCAAACAGGAAGTGGGAGTGAAGTACGCTTCTTGTAGGGGGTGACTTGCTCCCCCAAATCAACTTTTTTTGCTGATAAACTCTATAAATGAGTGTTTAAAAGTGCTGTAGACGCGTGTAGTCAGTAAGTTGGCACTTTAGTGCATCTCAGTTAAACTTTAAATAATCTGCCTAAAACTATCAGTGTTGCGCCATCGTAGCCTGGCCTGCCAGACTCGTCTTCTGTTTAATTCTGCACAGAGAAAGAGTCTGGGAACCCTCCTATTCAAATAACCCCACCTTGTGAGAATTCTAACCGAGCCAATCAGCGCTGAGTGTCGTGCATCGCACACCACAACGCTGAGTTTGTCGAACATGGCGACTGAAACGGAGTTTGCTGCGGCTCTTTCCTCTGGTCTAAATAACTTGGACACAAGTAGAAGTGCTAAAAGTCTTGTTTCCAAAGAAAGATGTTTGCACTGTCACCAGACTCCATTTTTACCACAGCTAAAAAAACTACAGCGTCGTGAACGTCACACACAGCGACGCTCAGTTTCTCATAAACAACAAAGACAGCGACAGAGTTCGCTGCGACTCCTTCCTCTGTTCTAAATGACTCGAATGCCTTTAAAACCACAAGTAGAAGTGCTAAAAGAATTTCTTCTAAAAAAAATAATAAAAGATGTTTGCGCTGTTGCCAGACGCTATTTTTTACGTCCATTAGAAAACTACAGCGTCGTGCGGTACAGTCGAGATTTCCGTCTTTTTTCTGATTGGTTACTTTTGAGCTTCCTAGTCCCGCCCCTTGAGTGCCTCTCTGCCTGTGAGTTACCAGACTTTCTTTGTGCAGAATTAAACAGAGGACGAGTCTGGCAGGCCAGGCTAGCGCCATCATCAGGTAAAAACTATGCACTACAGTCGAATATAAATCTGCCATCGCTATTGGCTAAGAGGTACATTATGACTAGCTGGTACATTATGATGTCACAATGTCATTGTGAGCCTGTGTGTATTTATTAGCGGCTCCTTCCTCTCGGTCTGCTAGGCAACAGCATTTGTTGCATTTTTTAAACAGGAAGTGGGAGTGGAGTAAGAATCTGGTAGGGGGTGACTTGCTCTTTAGCATATATGATAAAAATAAAGGAACCCGTTGGTGTTTTACGTGTCTACACCATCTTTCGGGTCAAATCTGAGTTTTTTTTTCCCAACATGATCCAGTCGTAATTGCAGACAGAAAAACACTTTTTCAAACGCTCAGAAATTCAAAATAATGCCTACCTCGCTGTTCGAAGCCCCGTGTCACTGATAGAGTAGATCAATATTAAACAGAAGCTGTTTACGTCTACAGGGGTCCTTTTGATGTTATCCAGTAAAATATTTACGTCTTAGTCTACAATCCAACATAATAAACCACTGAAAACCCTTAAAGTCTCTAAGTTTTATAATAACCTTCCTTAACTTCTAATTAACTCAAACTTCTACCTGACCCAACAGGTGAGGGGTTGGGCCTTACGTTGACGAGCACCATCGTGCATCACTGGGGTTTGAGAACACACACACACACACACCAGATAATCCCCCATAGTCTATGTTTGTTGTTGGTGTATTTAGCAGACACTTTTGTCCAAAGCGACTTACAAGTTATAATCGGCATGCTGCCCTTGAGGCTAACAACAACAATAACAACAACAAACAATTTCCAGTCAGTCATAGGTGGCAGTGAGGCAGCATGATGAATCATGGAGAGGAGGGAACAAGGAGTGGACAGTAGAGAGGGGGGATGGGTGCAGGGAGAGTGCTGGTTTAGAAGATGCTCTCTGAAGAGCAGGGTCTTGAGGAGATTCTTGAAAATTGAAAAGGAAGCCGCTGTTCTGGTAGTGCTTGGAAGGTCATTCCACATTTGTGGAACAATGCATGAAGAGTCTGGATTGTCCTGAGCGTGGTGTAGGCACTGCTAGCCGACGATCCTGTGGTGACCGGAGCGGCCGGGCCGAGACGTAAGCCTTTGCAAGAGGATTCAGGTAGATGGGAGCCGTACCGTCTCGGACTTTGTATGCTAGTGTTAGCAATCTGAATTTGATGCGTGCAGCTAGTGGTAGCCAGTGGAGCTCAATGAACAGAGGGGTGACGTGTGCTCTTTTTGGCTGATTGAAGACCAGACGCCCCGCTGCGTTCTGGACCATTTGAAGAGGTCTCACAGTACAGCCTGGAAGACCAGTTAGAAGGGCGTTGCAGTAATCGAGGCGGGAGATGACAGTAGATTGCACCAGGAGCTGGGTGGCATGTTGTGTTAGGTATGGTCTGATCTTTCGTATGTTATACAGCGCAAAGCGGCATGAACGAGCAACAGAGGCAACATGATCTTTAAAGGTCAGGTGTTCATCAATCACAACACCCAGATTTCGAACTGCCTTTGAAGGAGCCAGAGATAGGAAGTCATTTTGGATTGAGATATTGTGCTGTATGGATGGTTTTGCTGGGATGACAAGTAGTTCAGTTTTAGAGAGGTTGAGTTGGAGATGGTGGGATTTCATCCATTTTGATATGTCAGAGAGACAGTTTGATATTCGTGCAGAGACAGTGTGGTCGTCCGGTGGAAATGACAGATAGAGCTGGGTGTCGTCTGCATAGCAGCGGTAGGAGAAGCCATGTGATCGAATGATCTCACCCAGTGAGGTGGTGTGTATGGCAAAGAGAAAAGGTCCTAGTACAGAGCCCTGGAGGACACCTGTGGCAAGATGGTGCACGGTAGAGGATTGGCCAAGCCAATGATCGTCCTGTGAGGTACGATTCAAACCAGGCGTGTGCTTTCTCTGTGATGCCCATGCTAGAGAGCGTGGACAAAAGGAAGCCATGGTTGACAGTGTCAAATGCTGCCGATAAGTCGAGCAGGATAAGCACTGAGGATTTGGCAGTCGCTCTAGCTTCTTTTAAGGATTCCATCACTGCTAACAGAGCAGTTTCAGGAGAGTGGCCCTTTCTGAACCCAGATTGGTAAGGGTCAAGCAGACAGTTTTGTGAGAGGTATTCTGTGATCTGCTTGTCTACCTCTATGACAGAAGTCACTCAAATATTCTACTGGAGACACAATTACTTTATAGTTTTTACATTTTTGCGTTGTGACTACTAAACATTACCCACACAGCAGAAAAGTTTAATCATGGACCGCAATTCTGGTTTGATTCATGATAAATCAGCTGCTGTGGCTGATTTCTTGAAAAGAAAATCAGAAATTGCAGCAAAACTAATCAATCCCAAATGTAGTTATTTTACTGAACATCTTGGTCTGGGCCGTAGAAGCTGTGTTGGAGCAGACCTGAGCAGCACGGGAGCCTGCAGGCTTGATGAATAATGTTCACCTTTACTGCTGTAGTCCAGGAAGTAGCCACGGCCCAGAGGGAAGAAATGCAGGTTAAAGGCTTTTAAACATGCCGTGTGTCTTTAGCACAGACTGATGACTTACCGTTTTCAGCATCGCTCCTCCAGCAGGTGTGTGTGTGTGTGTGTGTGTGTGTGTGTGTGTCGTTCTCCCTCTCAGCAGGGGGTAAGGCTTGAGTCACTAGCAGCTACTCCTGACTTGAGCTCATTTCTCAGAACAAATCGACGTCAGCCGGACGTTCGTCTCTAAATATAGTTAAAATGTTTTAGGAATGTTTTTCTGGGCCTCAAAAATCAAACCAAAGCCTGTAGATAAACCCATCCTGACTGTATAGTGGATCAAAACAACCGTAAAGAAGTGAAAAGCTTCAAATAAACCTGTCTTCCTGCTGCCATCTTGTGTCCAGAACACAAAACTGTTATCAGGATTATTTCTGTTGGTCAAATATGGTAAAGCTGCTTTTATCCCTGTAAAATAAGTTGAATCTGTATTTCCAATCACTATTTAATGGTTGTTTTTTATGTTTTGTCTTGTTTTTGTTAGAAGTTTGGCACAAATGGTAAAAAGAATTCAAGAATATAAATAGATTCAATAGCAGACTCGACTGTTTTGTGCTTTACATGCTTTTCAAATCCAATTTAATTAAAATTAAATAAAATACTTTATTGATCCCAGAGGGAAATGAAATGTTATGTAACTCATAAAATTAAAAAACCATAGAACATCATTCAAGGTTCTTCAAAGGGTTTTCATGACAGAACTGATATTTTTATTCATATTTATGTTAAAGGTGTGGTTCACTCGTATAAATAATGCTTGTGCGGCGGTCTCTGGTAGGAATGAACACCGCGTTGGTTGTACTCTGGAGACAAGAAGCCCTGGTGCACTTGTTTCAGGGTCTAGAAGATTGCCAGATCAGAGGAGAGCTTCAGATGACGGGATTTTACTTCCTGATATGTGGACATCTCTCCTCTGATTGGCTAACAGCAACACAGCTCTACCACTGACTGGTCGCTCTGCAACGTTGATGTTTCACCTCCACAAATAACACAAGCCTGGAGGAGTT